ATGTATTCTTTTCTCTCGCTTCGTCCGCCATTACTACCGGTCGGGCCGCAATGCATTATGGGATATGCTGGGCCGGGAAGGATCCATCGGACCTGTCCTTCGATTCGGGGAAAAAGAAGGACGTATTTGTCGGACGCATCGGAGGAGTCTTCCGTTTTGGACGTCCTTCGTCGCGGCGCTGTGACGTATGCGGCCGACAAATTCGACCTTCGGAGGACCCGTCCTGCCGTTTTGGACACAGCCTTTTGAATGAGTGGGTGAGAGGATGAGGGTAGGACTGTGAGTGTGTTTATGTATGCTTGTATTTTTGTCAGGTTGGGACTTGGGCGGCCCCTTCTTCGGGATCATTTGAGGGCCCATTCCTCCCCTGCCGTGCTGTCCTCTGGTGGGTTGTGCCTTTGCCCGCCGGCGCGCTGGTGGCTCTCGTTGTCCGGGGCTGGGTGCTTGGGCATGTGCCGGCTCGGCCCGGTGACTGCCCGGTGGGGTGGGGGTCCCWCTGGTCCCATCGGGCCTTGGCCTGGGGGGGGTGCGGCCTGGGGACCCGGGCCTCTGTGTCCGTGCCTGGATCCACTCTGGTGCGGTGGGTACCGGCGGGTACCCTGTGAGTTCGTCACTGCTGGCCCCAGGGGTAACTGTGTGTGGTTGTTGGTGGGGCTCTTCCGGTTCTCTCCGGTGGTCCACTTTGGGGCGCAGGTGTCTCTAGGGGCTGCGTGCTTGGGGTCCCTCTTGGGGCCTTTGGCACTGGTCTCCCTTATGKCGGCTTCCGGCTTTGTGGGTCGTGTCTGTGGTCCCCCACAGTCACTTTGAAATATTCCATTGGAGAGATCCATGCATGMTCACAACTGCACACAAACAGGTGTTTACATCCTGGGTTTTCTATTTGGGCACTGACAGAAGGGTATGTGCATATATAGTATGTATGTGTGTATGTATGTATATGTGCATGTATATGTATGTGTATGTGTGTATGTGTATATGTATGTACAGTATATGTGTATGGTTTTCAGCAAGGCT